TAGGTCCCACGCATCTTCATCTCTGTGGGCTGTGGTGCAGGCAGGTGAAGGTACTCATGGTGGCAAACCCTCTATGGAGCGAGAACTTGACATTTATATGGTTGTTTTTAAATGTTTTATTTTTGGTACAGTTAAGACAAGTTTTACACCCACTTGAATTAAAACTTGCTCAGTGTTTCTAAGTAAAATTAACATGTGGTTGTTCTGTGGTACATTGCATTGCTCATCCTTCTTGATTCATAATGTAATTGCTTGAAATTACATTAAATAAATCAACAAATATTTAAATAGTAGGGTTTTGTTCCTTTTAAAGGAACTAAAATGCAAAATTTCCTCCGGCCATAATTTTAGAGCTGATTTCATGGTGACTTTGCCTACTGGGTTTGAGGAAGTGGGTACCCACTGTAGTGATGGCCAGCACCGTGGAGTTAGATCTCTGAAGGTAGTAAAATGAAGTTCTCTGTGGCCCTGACGTTTCTTAATCCCAGTTTGGTAACTACCAACCCTGACACTTGTCCGGGCTTGAGGTGTACATCAGAGCCTCAGGCCCACGGGCACAGCTGCTGGCCTGGCCTGGCCTGCAGGCTGGAGCCATTGCTCTCCCGTGGGTGCTCAGGGTCGCTGTGGGAGTTGTTTGGCAGCTGTGTGTGGATTAAATATCTTTGGCAAGGCAGCTGGCAGGAAAAGGCCTTGTAGGAACAGAGGCACCAAGGATGGCACAGCCAGGTGAGGATGAAGGTGAGACGAAATCACACGTGGCCCAGCTTGTGTCTTTCCAGCAAGATCTGATTAAAGCCAGTAGCACTGTTGGGCGGCAGTTCAGGGCAGATATCAGCATAGCGTAGTGGAGACTTCCTGCAGTGAAACTTTATCGAGCCCTGGGGGGAGAGATGCAACTTAACCCCAGCTCCTACAGGTGCCAGGGCCAAGGTACCTCCCAGAGCAAACGCTAGAAATGCAGGGAGTGGGGACACATAGGTACCGGTGAGAGTCATGGCGGTAGCAGGATTGAGTTACTAAATGTTTTTTCTCCTTACTCTTAAACAGTGGCGGAGCCCAAAGCAGTATTAAAATGTAAAGTTTCACACCCACTCAGACAGATGAGGAAACACTAGGAGGGATCGCTCTTCTATTAGGAGTATCGCCTGTCAAATTCTTACAAATGCTCAGAGCTGGAAAGATGAAAGAATTACACTTCCTGTTTACGCTCTGGCTGGCCTGTGTGTGGTCATGGAAATTTCATCCAGATTATGTCCTATAGGAATCATTCTGGTAGGAAATCCAACATTTCCTTCCTTCTGGCTTGCCAGTGTCACTTAATCCTTGCTGTGGGCCCATGTAGTAGGTTGATTGAGTATTAGCCCATTTTCTGGGCTGGTGGCCCATAACCTAAAAACACAGCACTTAGACCGCTGACTCACCTGCTTGTCATCTGCTCAGCTGGAATAGGATAAACCAAGGAATATAACTTGAGGAAAACATGATATCAAATCCACTGCCATTGGAGGGAAATAAGCTGTCATCATAACCCCAATTTTTTGAAAGTGGGACTGACTTAAAGGTACAGAGGTGATACTAAGACACGTAGAAGCAGTTTTAAAAAGTGAAAGGGCTCTGGGAAACTCCTGGTCATAATGCTGGGAACAGTCCAGCCTGCAGCCATCAGGGAGGCACAGGCTTCTGGTTTCGTCAGCAGGGTTAGGACGGCTCTTGTCCCAGCCTCGGTCCTGCTCCCGCTGTGGACTCGCAGGCTTTGCCCCCCACCCCTCCACGCTGGGGTGTGAGGGACCCGGAGCTGTCGTGGCAGGACGTCATCCCGTCACACGGCTTACCTGAGGCAGTGCTCGGATGGACATGATGCCAGCTCGTTCTTGTGCTGTCTGCGCCTGCACCGTGTAGCCACTGGGGCTGCCCACAGGGAGCTGGAGGCAGGCAAAGACCACCAGTTTCCTCGGAAAGCCATGAACACCCACAGCCGCGTTGGCCAGGACCAGTCCCAGGGGCCAGAGGTGGGTTACTGCCCGCAGGAGCTTGGTCTGTGCCAGGGGCAGTGGGAAGGAGCTTGGGGAACGAGGAGCTTGAGATGAGTGTTTTTCTTCCACACCATCCAGTTCTTTAGAAGCAAGGAAGGCCATTCTGATCTTAAAAAGAGAACACCACTTTATAGCTTTCGATTTACTAGGTCTCTTAATGGAAAACAGAAACCATACATAGTATTTGGTTATATAGTGTATACATATATAATTATATGATATATATAATTAATATAACGTTCAGCTCAACAAGGTGACGCTGTTAAGGGCACCTGGCTCTGTGTGGCACAACTTCATACCCAAGGCAGCTGTGCTTAGGCCTTACACACGCTGCCTTAGAAAACACTAGCCTTGGAGGTGACACTGCTCAGAGCAGGGGGCCTGAAGAGATAGCGTCTCTGTTCACAACACACCTGACAGGAATCTGGGCTCACTGTGACCAAGCGCCCCAAACTGGGGGCCTTCCTACCTTCCTATGAACACATATACTACACGTGTCCCCCTGCACCTCCACATGGCTGCTGGGCAGGACCAGTGGGACAGGGCTCACTACTGGAAGAAAAGCCACAGTATTTAGTGGGGGAATTTGCCACCCAGAGCCTGTTCGGTCCATGCACGCACGGGTGGGCCGAGAGTGGTCTTACAGACATGAAGGGTTTGAACCTCCTTTCAAGGGAAAAGAGAGATTCTATATGCTATTCTGAAGGACAGAAGGTTTTTAGAGCAGTGAAAATACTTTGTATGACATTAGAACAATGGCTATCCGTGTCATACTTTTGTCCAAACTAAGGAGGACTGTGGACTTTGACTGTGATGTGTCA